CTTTCTTTCTTTCTTTCTTTCTTTCTTTCTTTCTTTCTTTCTTTCTTTCTTTCTTTCTTTCTTTCCTTCCTTCCTTCCTTCCTTCCTTCCATCTTTCCTTCCTTCCCTCCCACCCACCCTTTCTTTCTTTCCCTCCCTTCCCCCTCTCTCTTTCTTTCCTTCTTTCCTTCCCTCTCTCCCAGCCTTCCTTTCTTTCCTTCCCCCCTCCCTCTCCCTCTCTCTCTTCCGCTTTCTTTTTTCTTTTCTTCTTTCCTTCCTTTATTGCTTTTAGAAATAATTCAAGGTGGCAAACATGCCCAACAAACCCTCCTCCTCCTGTTTTCCCCACAACAACAACCCTGTGAGGTGGCTGGGATGACAGAGAGAGACTGGGCCAAAGTCATCCAGCCAGCTTTCATGGCTAAGGTGGGACTTGAACTCGCACTCTCTGGCTTTGTACTTGGTGCTTTAACCACTAGACCAAACTAGCTTTCCCCACTCCTGGATTAACACTCTTACATGGACATACAGACCCTACGCTCTTGCAAAGAGCTTGTGCAAATTCCCTTCACTTGATTGGGATTGCAACCCTTAACACCAAACCATCTGCTGATGTTTCGGTCCAGTTTTCCAAGCGCCTGGACAGAATTCCATATTCACCATTCTTAGCATGGATAGCAATGCCCCAAGCATCGTCTCCAAATGATGTTGCTTGAAGAAGGGTGTCGGTTCCTCTGAGCCGCACGGCCAGCACCGTTCAGTCCTCTGTGGGAGTTTTATTCATCAGCCATTTAAGCTGGACCTTTCACGAGCTGCTTCAACTGGTAAAGTCCGATTGCCAAAGCAGGTCAGAGAACGGAGAGCCTCTCAGGCATTCTTCTGCAGCTTTGGTTTTGTTCTGTTCTGCTTCCCCGGCTTCCCCTCTTGTCCCTTTTCCAGTTGGAAATTTAATTAGTGTTGGATTCTCTTTTTTTTTTCCAAGCCAGCCAATTATTAAGGAAGTTGTGTTCTTGCTTTGCAAGTTTTCTTTCTGCATTTTTGGCTCAGCGGGTGGCCTTGCTGAATCTTCAGAACATGCCGTGGTTCTCATTCTTTCCTCTCCCTGAACAAAATTTCCCCAGGAGCACAAAGTTTTGAAGAAAGAAAAGAATCGCAGAGGCCGGCGAAGTTTAAATTGATCGGAATTCAAAGGACGTCACCACTGACTGGAATGAAATTGAATCCGTTACCACCAAATTGATGGTTTTCTGAGTGTATGCAGAAATGAAGAAAATATTCTTATTCAGGACTTAATTACTAGTAGAGAGTTAAACATTTATTACCAATAGTGAGTTAAACATTTATTCTGTTCAATAGAAAAAGAAGGAACTTCTTTTGATTTGTTCCCATCTTTACTATTGCGTCAGTTTCTTGGCAACAGCCCAGAAGTGGTTTTCCGTTGTCTATTTTTGGGGGTGCTTAATTTCCAAATCTTGGCTCCTGTTCTGGGACTTCCTGGTGTCCCCTCCCAATAGTAACTAAGTGTGACATTGCTGAACTTTTCCTGAGATTAGCCAAGATGTCCCAACTCTTGCTAAGAATTTCTCTGGATCTACAGGAATCATATGCTGGCTGGTCTTGCAAGGCTGAGTTTAGTTATCTCCCACAAAATATATATTATCTGGGTGCCTCAAGAAAAAAAATACCTCAGAATTTAAAGAAGGCCTGGTTCAGGTAATGATTGTCTTAGCATCAGGGGGTTGTCCAAATCAGAATGGGGAAAAAAATGGAGACAGATCAATTAAAAGATTAGGCTATGAAGAAAACAGAAGTTGGTTTTATTGGCTTGGAATTTATGAATTGAACTGCTATTTTCAGTATTCTGCATTGCACTGAATCTTTGTCATTTGCTCAAACTGAGTACAATCAAATATGTGAATAAATAAATTGGGCCCAAAGCGAGAAGGAGGGAGAGGGGGGGAAGGAGGGAGGGAGAAAGGGAAGGAGGGACAGGAACAGGGGAAGGGAGAAGGGAGAATGGGAGTGAAGGAACCATTTTGCCCTTGGAACTGAAGGATAACCTCAGTCCAGTCCTTCGTTTCATTTTCAGAACCAGGGAGAGTGCAGTGTTTGGCATAGATTTAATAGAGTTTGGCAAAACAAGGCAAACAAATATGTTAAAAAAAATTATGACAGCTTAGGGAGAAACTAAAAGAAAACCATACTATTCAAAAGCAACACAGCGGTAGCTTTATTGACTCAGTCCTTAGAAAATTCACCACCAAGTGGATTAGCAGATGCCTGGAGCTGTTATAAAATCAACCAGAAAATCAGTTGCATATTTATTTTCATTACTCTTCTAGTGAAAATGTGTTGAATTAAAGTGCATTGTTTCCTCTGCCTAAAATACATCTTTTAAATGTTTCTTCTCTGTAACAAAGGGGATAACAAGCCGAGATGTTTTAAGCTGCAGTCTCAAAATGATGAAACTCCAGAGTTGAAGCCTCCATCGAGACATAAATGTACAAGTTATGACAAAGTCATGCCTGAAAAGCCATACATATATTTGCATTGAGTTTGAAGGGGTCTATCATGATCCCAAAAGTTTTTTCAGGAAGCAAAACTTCCATGATGCCATGAATT